ACCTTCTACTTGTGCCTTGGAAGCTACAATGTGGAGTTTGTTACAGTGTAGCTGCTAGGATAAGCTTGGACCTGGGGATGGGCACCGGCTTCGAGCCTGTCTCTGTAAACACAACACACTTTCACTTAACTTTCACTTAACCAGGACGTTGCTGGTAACTTTCAATGAACCAGGCTGTTAACTTCTGAATTATACACACTTAGTAATACCCATCATCACAGGTCTGTATTTGTTTCCCTCCCACACAAGAACTTGTACAATTATTATCATCAAGAACAGAACAACATCATGAACAAGAATAACATCATGAACTAAAATAATATGAACAAGAAAAATATCATGAACAAGAAAAACATCATGAACAAGAAGTGTTCTATGCCAAAGTAACAAACTTCTTCTAGAAGGAAAACACCATCTCATGTGGCATAAGAAGGAAAAGACAACGTTAAGAAAGGAAAAAAAGTAAAAGTTGTCCCAAAGACAGAAGATAAATAAGGAGGGCACGTCCACGTCTTGACTAGAGTCTTACGGCTTCCTCCCCCTCCTCCGCAGGTTCCTCCAAGGCTTCGGCCTCGGAACCGGCCTCCTTAATGCACTCCTCAATGTCTTCCTGGGGCGGGACTGAAGACGTGTCCGATATGGCCTCTTTTGCTGAGTCGTCAGGAATGCTGGTGTCTTCCTTAACGGAGGAAGTGTCGGAGTTGTGCTCCTTCACAGACGAAGTGTCTGAAACGGCCTCCTTCACGTCCTCCTTAGCCGACGTGCTGCCGGTGTCTCCCACTGAAGCCGCCTCCGACGTGTCTTCCCGCGTCGACACCGACACTTCAGACGCCGTGTCCTCCTTAAGGAGGTCCAAGCCGCAGGAGGAGCGGAGAAGTCGTGCGTTAGAGTAAGGAATAAGGCAAGACGTGAGCTGAAGTTAGTCAAGAAGTCTGACATCTACACTGAACACTGTTAGTTACAGGCAAGATCAGCAAGGATTCAACAAGTCTGGTTATAAACAGGAATAATACTAGATCACAGGTGTGCTTTCCTTGAGTTGTTTTGTGTACATGTTTCTATATGTTGTTTCTATGTGTTGTTTCTATGTGTTGTTTCTATGTGTTGTTTCTATGTGTATTATTTACATGTGCTGTTTCTATGTGCTGTTTCTATGTTGTTCACGTGTGTTGTTTATGTGTGTTGTTTCTATGTGTTGTTTACAGGTGTTGTTCACGTGTTGTTTACACGTGTTTACATGTGTTGTTTACACGTGTTGTTTACACACGTTTACATGTGTTATTTACACGTGTTGTTTACACATGTTGTTTACATGTGTTGTTTACATGTGTTGTTTACATGTGTTGTTTACACATGTTGTTTACACGTGTTGTTTACATGTGTTGTACACGTGTTGTTTACAACTTTTACTTCCTAAGTTAGAGGAGAAAATGCTTACAGGAATGCTGCAGGTGTCCTCCTGAGGGCAGAGGTGAAAGGGCAGAGGTTAGAGGTAAGAATGTACCAAGAAACAAGCCAGACAAACTTTCCCCTGCTAACAGCACAGAGGTCATGGGTCATCATGGACCGTGGGTCATCATGGACCGTGGGTCATCATGGACCGTGGGTCGGTCACTAGGCGACCCAGCAGCGTGGGTTAACCCATATGGGTTATGAATGGTACTTACACTTGTGGGTGGGGGAAGGGTTAGGAACTGTACTTACACTTGTGGGTGGGTAGAAGAACTGTACTTACACTTGTGGGTGGGTAGAAGAACTGTACTTACACTTGTGGGTGGGTAGAAGAACTGTACGTGGGTGGGTAGAAGAACTGTACTTACAACTTACACTAGTGGGTGGGTGGAAGAACTGTACTTACACTTGTGGGAGACTGTACTTACACTTGTGGGTGGGTGGAAGGGTGGGTTATGGGTTACTTACACTTGTGGGTGGGTGGAAGAGTGGGTTATGGGTTACTTACACTTGTGGGTGGGTGGAAGGGTTAGGAACTGTACTTACACTTGTGGGTGGGTGGAAGAGTGGGTTATGGGTTAGGTACCATGTAGACTTACACTTGTGGGTGGGTGGAAGAGGTCCCGTAGCGGCCCGTGGGGCGGCCCTTGCGGTGACCCCGGAGGCGTGGGGTTCTCCTTGCATAGGTAGATGCGCAGGCTCTTCATGTGGGGGTTGTGGTCCAGCAGGATGATCGCCTTCTCAAGGTCAGACTGGTTCAGGATCGGAATGGAAATCTGCAGGGCACAGGTCAAAGGTTAGGTAAAGGTCAGGTCAGGTGCAAAGGTTAGAGTGCATAGGAAAGGAAATCTACAACTGAACTCTGACCTCAGTGTTAGTGTAGAACATGGTGAGTAGCTGCCCGTATGCCGTCTTCACTTTACTCTGCAAGTCCTGGAAGTTGACTGGTCGGGGGACCTGGATAATTCTGGGGGGACAAAAAGAACAGATGTGAAGTACAACAACAAATAAGTTCCGACGTGCAACCCTGTGTCTAACCTGTGCCTGTAGCTTCATGGTTGCAGTCAGGGTTCTGGACTGACAAAGATTTGACATTCTTGTACGTGTAGTCTTCTTGGATTATGTATGGGCAATGATTTTAAATGTGTTTGCAGCAAAAAAAAATATGGTTGTGTCCAATGCATTTCTCTGTAATTGTGCATGTGGTGTGCCATTGTGTCAGACGTGTTTCTGGAGCAAAACTACATGACAGGAACAGAAGACGAACCTTTTCTCGCCCTGGAACTCGAACTTGACCCTGACGTCTGTCTGTGAGGAGGATTTGGCGCTGGAATGTGACTTGTGCCACGCCGACTGCTTCATGCCTGCAGCCAGGTCATTCTTGATGGAGTTCAAAGCCTCTTTTTCATCTGAAACAAAAATTAACATCAATCAGCGACTAGATATTTGCTGCTTCCCCCAATGTGACGGGTAGGGAGCACTGTGCTCTTCATCATCATCATCATCATCATTCATCCTCCATAATAGAGGTGGAGCATACAAAGTTAGCTCGCCAAAACTGTGCTCTTAACTTACAAAATTAGTCTGGAGATCTGCATATTGGAGCCATGGTTACATGTAACAGTTCTATACTGACCCACGGTTACAGTAAAAGTTTTATACTGACCCATGGTTACAGTAAAGTTCTATACTGACACACAGTAACAGTAAAAGTTCTATAATGACCCACGGTTACAGTAAAAGTTCTATACTGACCCATGGTAACAGTAACAGTTCTATACTGACCCATGGTAAAGTTCTATACTGACCCATGGTTACAGTTAAAGTTCTATACCAGTGTTTCCGCCAGAGGGCCGTCCACCCGTCATATGACGGCCTGGTGTCGTTTTGGACGGCCTGAACTCGGACAGAGGCCGTCCTCTTAAAAAATTTCTAGACTCGGAAAAATCAGAGAAATTGACAGTCTTTGTTTTGTTGCTGTAGACGAGGACGCCGTCCAAGGCAAGAAAGACACGTTGTTTGTTTTGCTATTGTTATCATGCTGACGAACAATTGATGTCGGCGCCTTTCGCATACGTTAATCTCATTAAAACCCGTTTTTCAAGTCTCCATCCGGTAAAATGTATCCACAAACATTTTTCCTCGAACAGAATCATTTCGGATTTGAAAATTCTCTTTTGGGAGTTACGTTTTTGTTTTTGATGGTGTTGTAGCGGGCGGGTTGCATGAATCCACGCCGCCGCAGTTCGCTATCCACGCCGCGGTTCGCTAACACTTCCGGCTTCCTTGAATACGCGAAATGCACCACAAATCGGCATATGGATGCATACATTTTCCCCAGAATTCTTCATAATGAATTTCTTTAATGGAATGTTACTAATTAGCGGTAGAAACACCGTAGAAAGTAGCGTAGTGTAACTCTCTTCGCCAACAAACAAATTCTACAGCTATGCCGGCAAAGATGGCTCTATCCAATCAGAGCGCAGGTCATATGAGGTCAACCAATCAGAGCGTAGAGTTCACGCTGCTACTTACATATTAATGACAAAATGGCGCGTATTTCCTTCTCCGGCGAGGTTGAGAATGTGCGCTGCAAGTTTATTTTTCCGGCGATTTTCTGACTTTTAACGCCGATTTTTCGCACGCTACGATCACACTACCATTTGACACTGTACTGGAGACAACAGATGAGTGATCATTTTACAATCAAGGAGCATTTTTGTTGAATGAAACAGCAATGAAAGCTACGATACAGCCAATTATTTTTCAAAATTTGTCTCGTGTATGAGATAAGATGACGTTTCTTTACATGTTTTGATGTATTTTTGGCTTGATATTAACTAGTAATTCGTAGCGGAAATGTACGGAAGAAGTACGAGTACGAACGAAGCAAGGCTCTTCACTATTAAAAATCCGGCTAGCGCGGGCGCTACCGGAGGTTATAATTAAATGATGCCGATGTTTGGCGTTTTGCAGCAGAGTTTTGCAACAGTATAATTTCCTGACGATACGTTTGCCATCTGTAACAGTGTTTTTATGTCAATACAAAAAATGTGGAATGCTTGTGGACAGTTTCAACTTGTAAACAAGTGTAAACAAATGCCCCGCCCCCTCAGTTAATTTTCGCGACGTGTTCCCTAAGTTAATTAATTTTCGCGACCCGGCCCTTCCCAACTGGACGGCCTCTCAGCTGCAGTCTGGCGGAAACACTGTTCTATACTGACCCACAGTTACAGTAAAAGTTATACTGACCCATGGTTACACTTAAAGTTCTATACTGACCCATGGTTACAGTAAAAGTTCTATACTGACCCACGGTTACAGTAAAAGTTTTATACTGACCCATGGTGACAGTAAATGTTCTATACTGACCCATGGTACAGTAAATGTTCTATACTGACCCATGGTGATGTCCGTCTGTTGTGTCACTCATCAATCTTCAGACCTGCACAGACCTGAAGGAAATAAACATTTCTGTTGCTTTACTTACTTTAACATTTAACTTGCAGGTACGGCCTATAGCTATGATGATAGCATGATCATTTAATATGTCAATTAACATAATGTTACATACATGTACAAACTGTGCTGTACAGATACATGCATACAATGTATGTTTATATATCGGTGCTTCACATACACATATAAACAATGTCCTGTACATTCACCTATTATGTGCTATATAAATATACATGTATACAATGTTCTGTACAGGTATACATGCTATGTGCTGTACAAACATACACATGTGCGTGCTGACATTACAACCAATCTTATGTGGGGGCGTGTTTACATGGGGGAGGGGTCGAGCTAAGGATGGACATTTTTGCAGTTTCTGACATCAAGATTGTATTTTCTGACACCGGGTTACTGATCTGTCAGACGTTTTAGACAAACAGGGCCGGTTGCTGACAAGCTGTCTGTCTGTTCCCGAGCCTATGTACTGGTACAAGTATACAATGCCCTGTACAGGTATACATATATCATGTACTGTACAAAATATATACATGTATATAAAGTGCTGTACTGACATCAGGGACAGTTTTACCAGGATGGTGGGACAGTGTAACCTGTATGGTGTTTAGGAGGTGAACAGTAAGAGCAGGTACCGAGCCCCTAGCTCCCCGGGCGGCCGTGCTTTGATGTCGGGGCTGGGTGCTGCAGGCTCCGCCGCCTTTTGTGCCGCTCCAGTGACGCTGTGCGGACTGGAATGTCCCGCCCCCCACCCCACCTGCAGGTACCCTCCGCAAATAACCGGCTCAAAACACGACATCGCGGCGACTCACGGGCACAACTAACCCAGAACTCACGCTAACATGGACAGACGGAGCCTTTACATGGACGGAACCGGCCTTACTGCGGGCAGAACTCGGCCTGCTGGTACGGAAAAACACGAACACCTGAGCCTAACCAGCCGCCATGGCGTGTTTATTATGGTATAGCCGACTCGGCACGGCTACAGGGGGAGGGGGGACGGGTTTACCCCCGACTAGCCACGACAAACTGCCGACAAACTCCCGATTTGTGGCGGACTGGGGCGGTCTGAGCGCGTAGCAGGCTGGAGGGCAGACCTGAGGAGGCGGTACGCAAACTGCACCACCGTCCCAACATCCGCCATCTTTAAACCACAAAAAAATATGGTGGCTGGCTGCTTCTAACACGGGATCATGTACAACGGAAGGGGGAAATCACGCACAGAATCCTGATTATACAGGGTAGGGGTGGGTTTGGGGAGGGGGGATTTTGTGTGTTAGTCGTTAGAGGCGTGTAAAATTGGCTGTGTTGGCAGGAAAGTCAGTACTACACACTTACCTGACAGAAGAGCAAATATGGCAGGTAATGTCCACAGTAGTGAGTCCTGGGTCACAGTGGAGGGTTGTTGTGCGACAATCGGGGCACAGTCGTGCGCAGGTCGGGTCCCACACACACACAGGCGGTACGACAGGGCCCGGACATGCACGGGGAGGCAAGATGGCAGCTCTGGCCGGGAACAGTCGCTAGGAAGTCTGGCGGGTTCCGATCAGTGGAAACAAACATGGAGGGATCGCGCCTCGGACAGGAACCAGCAGGCCTGGCAAACAGGCCGTACATCCGCGGCAAACGGGGACACAGGCGCGCATCCAGGCATCCTACGAACGGGCAAACATCTCCCTCACTCACAGTACATTCCACAGGGCGTGATCTGCCGCGAAAACGCACAAAATCCCGCACTTTTGTCGCGATGGTTCAGGTTATATGTTCTGCCGAAATCCCAGGTCTAGCTGATGCTGTCACAAACGCTACAAATTAGTTGTTTATCTAACGTTTAAAAAGTAACTACCATGTATATAAAATCTATCACCAACATTTTATCAATGATCATCAAAATAATATATGGTGCACAGTAGACAACTATATTATGATGTTTTGCTTCGGTAGATTTAGCTGTCTAGTTTCTGGTGCGTGTTGCTGCGGTGCCATCCTTCTGGCAGAACCATGACGTCACCGTGTTTACCTCATGACGTCATCCACTGGGTCACAAGGTTCTTGAGTTTTGGCGCCAGAAAAAGGTGAAAAACTGGAGTTTTCGCGGGACAAATATTTGTGTATTTCAGTTCCATTGACGGGAAATTGAACATAATCGTTCAGGAATGGATACTGCGAGTAAAATATCGTTTGGACATCTGCGAATCCCGCTTTAACATAGCCCATTCGGATGCAGGCCTGCTGTATCTCAGATTAGACTAGTGAAGCGCACTTTTAAACCGTATAAAAACAAGTAGTAGTAGACTGGTTTATTTATATCAAACATGTTTGCAGCCCTAGGGCTGAATTGCACAGCTTTTACAAAACACTGTACCAATTGTGCCACATAATGATTAAAATACATTATACATTACTTAAAATACACAGCAATACTTATAAACCAGGAGGTGAAATAAACTATAAACCTCGGAAGCCTCACTAGCTGCAAAACCAAACCGTCTCGCCATCAGACATGGGAAATCTGGGTTTGCTTCCTATTACGGTCCTGAAGATAATTTTAAAATAATTTAGAGGTCTGGCTGTTAGAAGCGCAACCAGGAGCCCATCTGCTAAGCCTGTGGCTATTGCGTGGCATTGCGCAGGCATTTTCTCCTTTTCTTCGGCCGAAGTGATCTGACTAATACAGTTTAACAATGTAAAACTTATGTGCACCGAGACACTTGTATTTTCAACATCATATTTCAATTATAACGGAAAACATTGAACAAGCACAAGAAGTGCAATGGTTACTACAAATTGACCGTTTATATTCCTCTTTTGAACAACGCCCACCGAGCCTTATTAGGCTAATCTGTCTGTCAAGGTGCCAAAAACACCTTACGGATTTGGTGCGCCGATGTGACAACATCTCATATTGGCCAGAGAACCGTAAATTTTTTTTTTTTTTTGAACAACAACAAAATGAGAACATGTTGGAAAACGATTCTCCAACGTTTTACTCACTCAGATGTGAAACGTATTATTCTCAGCAGTTGGCAGTTCTGAAGCTGCCCGCTAGGGGGCGTAAGAAGCACGCGAACAGCCCGCCCGCCTTCCCTGGCCTTGGTGCTGACCCGGGTCAACAGAGAGCCTGCTGGGAGCGGAAATGCGTCTCACTGCGACATATCTAACCAACAGCGTTAGAAATATCGGACACAAACACATGTAAGAATCTTCTGGCGAGGGGTGATTTTCGAGGAACGACATTCCAATTATTTCTGCACGACGCTTGTAGATTTCTCCTATCCTCTATCAGGCACCACGGATCGCTAAAAATGGCCAGAATAAAAGGACTATAGTACCAGGGGAGTCAGTCGGCCAGAGGGAACATTGTCGCTAAGTGTACCCTCTCTGGCCGGCTAATACCCCTGGTATTATATTCCCTTTATTTTGGCCAATTCCTACTACTAGTATTTTTTCAGCGATCCGCGGTGCCTGGTAGAAGCTAGTTTTCTCCCGATGAGTACCCTGTTTGTATTCCTAAATTTACTGTTTGAAAAATGCGAGATGATTATTGGGAAGGCAGTCTTCCTGCGGCCCGCGTTACCCACAGGTTTTACTTCGTCAGTCGCAGGTAGAAAACTAACCCTCGCCCCAAACAGTGGACCCTAAACATCAGAATGGACCCTTCCAAAAAAGAACGGGCATGGATGGAACAAGGATCGTCCGTGACTTTCAGAAGTCACGTGCTTTATTGAACAAAAAGTGAACATTTCTAAAACTGAACATGTGTAGATCTATGGCAGAAAATTTGTAGTACAAATCGACAGCTTGCAGCGCCCAGAGATGCACCAAGGAGATTACAATGAAATCTGTACATCATCGAGAGTTCTTAATTTAAGTTTAATTCTTCAACAAAAATTGTAAGGTAAGACTGAAACAAAAGCGCAGAACAGTCATCACGACTGAAGCTATTTACATGTTATTTAGCGAAAACGTCTCCGTGTTCTGGAGACACTCTGGGCCTGACACTAACCCTTCCCCTGCCCCAATGGCACCCACATGCACTGATACAGGATGAGGATGTGTTTGCTATTCCTACAACTACGTATACCCCCTCACGTTTTCCTCTTCCTCCGGAACTTGCCCCGTGTTTTCTCCCTCTGGAGCTACTCCACGTCATGTTTTCCTCTTCATCCGGAGCCCCTCAAGTTTTCCTCTTCCTCCTTACCCACGGTCCCGGGGGACTTCCCCAGGGGGGTGGTGCGCACCATCAGCGCTGTGACGGACCGCTTCACCTGGGGGGTGGGGACATCCGGGGCCTCCGCCTTCGCGTAGCTGTGGTACATCTCCGTCACCGACTTCGGCGGCGGCTTTTTGGCGGGAGACTTTTCCGCGGGTTTCAGCTGTTTGGCGGGAGATCTGTCCGGAGTTTTGTGTGCAGAAGTTTTGGCGGGGGATTGTGCAGGTTTGGTTTCAGCGGGCTCAGGTTTGGGTGTCGTCTGAGTGATGGAAACGGCACAAGATGGGGAGGGGGGCGGGGCCGGTTTGTTCGGGTAAACAACAATGTACTTTTTGGGCGTGTTGACGACGGCGGAGTGGATGGTGGCGATGTTTTTCAGCGTGTTGGCCGCGCTGCTGGTCTGGGCGATAGTCTTGGCGGCCAGGGCGGGTTTACTGGCGGGACTGGCGGGAGGTTTGGGGGCAGCATTCAGGCTGTACACGCTGTCTATCTTCAGCGCTGTTCCCTCCCCGGTCTCGCTGCGGACTGGAGACGCCTCGCTTTTAACCGGAGACGCCGCCGACTCGGTCTCGGAGCCGGAGCCGGGCTCATCAGTCCTCGCGAGACTTCCTTCCGAGGCTGACGTCACGCCGCCAGCAGTGCTGTTGGATGCGGTCACTTGAGTCTGGTTCGTGGCCGTGCTGGTAGATGCGGTCACTTGAGTCGGCGTGGCGGGAGACACCGCCTGAACGGCATCCGAACTAACTTTTACCGCCGCCTTTACGGCATCCGAACTAACCACTACCTGTCCGGAAGCGGAAGTGACCGTGGCTGCGGCGGCGCTGGACTTGAGCGCGTCCACGGGAATGTGCGTGGTGGTGGGGCAGGGGATCAGCTTGTAGGGCTGTCCGTTAATCAGCACCACGTTTTCGCTCTGTTGCACCATGGACACCTGTTTGGGCGCGGGTTTGTTGGGGAGGAGTTGGGCGGCTGTCGGGGCGGCGGCAAGGCGGGAAGTCTGCGGGCCGGTCCTGATTGGCGCCGGGGCCGAGACGGTGCCGGTTTGCGGTACGAACACGATCTTGTGCTGTCCCGCCGACGTGGTGACCATGGGCCTCCCGACGGGGACAGCAGACGGCTGCGTCTTCAGGACCGAGGTCTTGGCCGAGGGTTTGACGGTGGGCGTGACCACGGCCACGTTGCCGAGGGTCGCGCTGGTCCGAGGGCCCAGACTCTGCGTCACGCCTGTGGACGGGCCGGACACGACCACCAGCCGCGTGTTGGGACCGATCGTTAGTGTTCCTCCCGGGGGAGGAGGCGTCACTTTGATGATGTTGTAGACAGCTGAGGTACTCGGCATGGAGGCGGCAGGGTGGAGAACGGGCGGTTTGGCCGGAGGCGTGCTGAGCTTAGTCCCCGGGACGGCAGCCGGGGGCGTGCCGGGGACGAGCGTAATCCCCGGGGCGACGGCCTGGGGCGTGACGGGCTTACTTCCCGACGGGACGGCCGAGTAGGTACCGGGCTTACTGACCGGGGCGACTCCCAGCGGCGACGGTGGGCGGCACGGCGATCACCTTCTGCACGGCGCCTGTCGGGCCGGACGCGCTGCTCATGGCCACAGCGGTTCCCGGGCTGCCGACTGTCCCCGGAGGCTTCCCGTCCTTCCCCGTTGGTTGCGGCCGCTGGTGCAGGGAGCACGTGCACCACCGCCGAGCCTCCCGTGGCCGGGCCGGTAACGCCCACGGGACTGCCGGGCTGCGGCGTCACCTTCACCTGCTGCAGAAGGAACTTACTGCTCCCGGCCGGCAGCCGCGCCGACCCGCTCACGGCTCAGCTACCTGGAGAAACCCCCGTTCAACATGCAATCTCAACGCCGGAGGCACCTGGGGAAACAACAACACGCCGTAAGCAACAAATAAACAACAATATGCCGTAAACAAACAAGCCGGAAAAAACAAGACAACACATTATAAACAAGTACACAACACACCGTAAACAACAAATAAAAACGCATCGTAAACAACAAAAAGTATCATACTTTATCGTTTTAACGCCGATAATCTTTAGAATGAATTGTTCTTTTATAAATGCACTGTAAAATCAGCGCAATTTAGTCTTGATGACTACAAAGTTGATTGTACAAATAAGTTTGAGTTTACAAGTAAACAACATGCATGCAGAAAGGCGTGAGTTGAGGTGTGCTTACCGTCTTGGTGACGACCTTGGCGCCTGGCGGCAGCATGTTGAGCGGGACCAGCAGTCGGCAGGGAACCCCGTTCTGCACTACCGGCACCACCTGGTACAACTGGTGGGTCCCTCCGGGCGCAGCTACAGCGGCAGGGCTGGGGGAACAAACGGGACGGTAAGGTAAGGTATGGTTACTAGCAGATCATACGGTGGCAGGGAACCGTTTGCCACAGGTACCACCTGGTACAGGTCCCGCAGCTACAGCGGCAGGGCTGGGGGAACAAACAGGACGGTAAGGTAAGGTATGGTTACTAGCGGGACCAGCAGGCGGCAGGGAACCCCGTTCTGACCACAGGTACCACCTGTACAACTGGTGCGTCCCGCCGGGCGCAGCTACAGCGGCAGGGCTGGGGGAACAAACAGGACGGTAAGGTAAGGTATGGTTACTAGCGGGACCAGCAGGCGGCAGGGAACCCCGTTCTGCACCACAGGTACCACCTTGTACAGCTGGTTCGTCCCGGTACCACTAACGGACGGGTTATTATTGTGCGTTATGGTTATTATTGTGCGTTATGGTTATTATTGTGCGTTAGGGTTATTATTGCGCGTTATGGTTATTATTGTGCGTTATGTTTATTATTGTGCGTTATGAATATTGAGCGGGACCCACAATGTGTTCCTGTCCTTTGGAATGGATTTTGGTATTCTGTGACATAAGTATCGTTTTCTTTTTTTTAATTTTAACGGCACAAATTTGATTATTTTGCAGCTACTTTGTACGATTTACAGTATGTTTGAAAACCTTTTTTGTTTTTTGGAAACGGACGGAAATTGATGCGCGCGCGCCTGTCATCCATATAATTAAATCAACTTGGCCTTAGACTTGTGTTGTCAGTCCGAAAAAATAAAGATTGCATTTCTAATTCCCGTTACCGGACCGCGAGTTTACGTAAGACATACAGAAACGTCGTAATGAAGTCGTAAAAACAGCCTCGATCATATTTAAAGGAAACCTCGAATTTTCTAGGTCGGTGGGATACTAGTATCCGAAAAACAGACCAGTAACGTTACACTGCTATAACTCATACATAAAGTAGGTACACATAAAGTTGTAGAAAAAGTATGTAACCCAGAGCACAGGGACGGTGGTTCTTACCTGGTCACTACGCTGGACTGCACCACTGCAGCGGCGGGGGTCACGTGACCAGACGTTGTGGCTACGGCAGTCACGTGACTTGAGGCTGTAGATTTGCTGGTCACGTGAGTCGACGTTGTAGCTGAGGTGGTCACGTGAGTCGAGGCTGTGGCTACGCTGGTCACGTGAGTCGAGGCTGTAGCTACGGTAGTCACGTGATCCGAAGTTGTAGCTTTGCTGGTCACGTGATCGGAAGTTCTAGCTACACTGGTCACGTGATCCGAAGTTGTATCTTTGCTGGTCACGTGATCTGAAGTTGTCTCTACGCTGGTCACGTGATCTGAAGTTGTCTCTACGCTGCTAGACGTGCAGGTTACGTCACTCGATGTCGTGGTTGTGTTTGTCACGTGGTCCGATGTTGGTGACGCGCTTGTGACGTCGTGCGACGTAACAGGAACTAACGTCACCATGTCGGTGTGTTCACCGTCTGACGCATCTGTGCGCAGTCCTTGCGCCTGGCACGCACAATCGGAGACTCCGCACAGTAGCAGGCTCATGACGCCATGTCTATATAACCTGATCATACACGGATTCTCCTACCAACAGGCATGTTTGCAGCTGCGCAGAAGTCTTTGCGCATGACGTAGGCTGATCCATGCACAGCAGGATTTGTGAGTGAAAATTACTCAGTTTGACCTTCACAAACTTCGTCAATACGAGCGAGAGAAAACAAGCAAGATTCAATCCATACACTTCATATTAATTTTTTGTGTTTTTGCGAACGATTTTTCATGTAAATATGACCCAAAAATCGGTACTCGTCCCGGCATGCCACATGTCGATGCGAACATCGCCGACCCGGAAGTAAACTATACGCGCAAAGGTCATCCGAAACCCACCAATCAGGAGGCGCCGAACGCGCTCGTCACGTGAGGAGGTTACTTCCGGCTGCCTCTTGTTTGGGACGTGCCGATATTTTGTGTATTACATGGCGGCAGCAGTACACATGTTGTAGCTTCCGTATCTGTGCTCATAATACTGCGGATGGGAGCTTATAATACTGCGTAAAACTTCAGCTAGATTTTCTTGCGATTTTCTCCCCTACAGCAGGTTTATGTGAGTCGGGAATCGTTGCGCTTCGGCCGGCGTCTCCACGCGAACCTACGAGCTTACAGCGGTTCACTTGTCGGACACGTACGTATAGAATAATATTCCACCTGTACACAGTACAGGATCCTGTTTCATACGGACACGTAGTCTCTTAGTGTCTGACTTCCTTGTTTGTGCATGGAAGTCTGTCTTAATCTATCTTTATTATTAACGCTATATACGTTACAGATAGTGGCAAAGCCCTCGATAGGGCATCACGCCCACTGTGCGCGTACTTACAGATACAGATACTGGGCAAAGCCCTCCGATGATAGGACATCACGCCCACTGTGCGCGTACGTATAGAATAATATTCCACCTGTGCACACTGTTTAATACGGACACGTAGTCTGTTATAGTGTCTGGCTCCCCAGTTTGTGCATGTATTCACAGCACACGGCAAGTCTATAATCTACAAGTATATAACGTTACATTACATAGGGCATCACGCCCACTGTGCACGGCTGGTGCGGCCGGTGGCGTGGCGTGAAAAAGGTGTCTATATTAATAAACAAAGCAACACATATATTTGGTGCAATGGTGAATGGTATATCCCGACTGCATCTGGGAGCCAGGGGAAGTCTATGGGCTTCATTGTGACGAAAACGCGCACGAAGACACGAGGCAATATTATCGGAACACCCCCATGCCTGTCCACGTACAGTGAAACAGCACCAATATATAATACATGCCAGATCGCTTCCATAACGCTTTGGATTGGACATTTGGAGACGCGCGAATATTTGTGCCATAAATAAACCTATAACAGCCGATCAAAACTCATCACCGGCATTACTTAGGAATAGTAACCATCACACTTCTTTTCTTTCCAGCCTTTGCTTGTTGCGTGTCGCTGTGAGAAAATCGATAGTAAAAGCAGCACATGTTTGTCACTGTTCGCTTTAATGGTGATAACAGCGCATCCACGCACGCCGCCGTCTTTCCAGAGAAACAGCCACTCCTTGTTTTGATATTAAACTTTCCTCTGTGGTCCTTTTTGTACGTGGTGCTGTTCAACTTACCTTCACATGAAGTTCTTTTGTTTATTGTTGCTTTGTTTTGTTTTGTTTCGTTTTTGTTTTGTTGATCTTTGACCCTCGACCCTTTGAACACAAACAAAGCGTCTTGTTTGAAATAAGCAGCTCAATTCTCGCTGCTTTTTCTGTAACAAGTTTTAAATCTGTGTCGAATCAGGCACTTTTTTGCTTTTTTTAATCTATTCCTGACACCAGAAAGCAAACCTTATAGCAGGAATAAAACTCCCTGAATTACAGAAAATTTGCGTACACAAATTACAACAGATGAGGCAGGCGATACACATGTATATACATCCCTAATACACATTATAATACATCATTTTTATACTAAGCAAACCTTCTGACTTTTGTACAGCTGAGGTTTGGAAAACATATATTGTTATTTTCCTGTAAAACGGAACACGACGCATAGAAAACAGATCGGCGCCTGAGTGGCTTTGCTGGTTTGCTTGGGCATAAGTTGACTTAGTCTCTACCAGGCCTCACAAGCCGCTAGAAATTGGCCAAATAGAGAGTGTTTCTTACACTGCTAATGCCTGCCGTCATGTCTCCCCACAGCCGCCCACAGGTCCCGACTGTCGGTTCCCGCCATGAAGATGCGAAGCTCCCGGCCGAACCCCGCCGGGGCGCGCTACCAGCGCCTGCCGCAGTCGGACGACGGATTTATAGGTACGTTTCGCATAATTTAAGTATTGCTAGATTGCTAATTGTTTATAAAATTTTCAATGTAAATGCAATAGTTTTAACCAGGGAACTATGATTAATGTTTTAACGAAGAAGTGTACTTATGAAGAAGTGTTCCAAATACGCTGCATGTATGTATACCATCAGTGTAAGCAATACGGAATTCAGCCTTGCGGCTGCGATGTATTTTAGAGAAATAAACCATTCTACTACTAGTACTAGTACTACTCGCCAGACCTACAGTGAGGGGGCGGATCCCGTACAGAGCTATCGGCCTGGCCACAGTCCTGTTCCTGCTAGGGACGGCCCTGCTGACCGTGGGCTCCCTGCTGTTAGCCGGGGTGTACATCGACCCGCAGTACTCGGACCGGACCTGGCCCGTCCTCCTGCTCGGGTTGTTAGTGTTCATCCCCGGCGGCTATCACGTCTTCATCGCCTACAACGCCTGGAGGGGCGTCAAGGGATACTCCTTCGACGACATTCCGGAGTACAACGACTAAAAATACGGAGTACAACGACTAAAAATACGGAGTACAACGACTAAAAATACGGAGTACAACGACTAAAAAGAGTACACGGGAGTACAACGACTAAAAATACGGAGTACAACGACTATAAATACGGAGTACAACGACTAAAAATCCGGAGTACAACGACTAAGTACTGCAGAAGACGGAGAACGACGTCTAAACACTGCAAAATCCGGAAAACAATGACTGGAGACAGCAAAATCCGGAAAACAACGACTACAACTGACTACAGCTGCTAATAAAAGACCACAAAATCCCGAGTATAGCGACAAAAAAATCCAGAGTACAACGACTAAATACTGAAAAATACGGAGAATGACGACTTATTGCTACAAGGACGGGGTACAGCCACTAAAGACTACAAAATCCGGACAACAGTAACTAAACACTAAAGCCTATTAGTACAACTCCTATAGCTAAGTACCTACAAACTCCGGAGTACAACGAGTAAAGACTGCCAATTCCAGACACACTAAAGACTACAAAACTTCGGAATACAACGACTATATTAATATTGTACCGTCGCGGAATATAGATAAAGACGGCAACTTCCCGCGTTCAACTTTCTAATACAAAATCCAGATGAAAACGAATGAGGTGTAACTATTGATGTTTAATCAGCCAATATTCTGTAGAAATAAATGTGAGTTTAGATCAGAGATATCCAGTCCGACTTTGGGCCAATCTTCCGAGGATATTTTGTGAACAACCCCATAAAAGTATGTAGATATCCACTAAGGCATAGTAGTTAGCTGTATGTCAGTGGTAGATTTTGAGAGTGTTCCTTATGATAATGACTATTAAAAAAAGTCAGTACTTTTGCCGAAATTTCCGACCAGACATTACTTTTGTGTTGGGGCAGTTTTAAGCACAGACAGTCGGAATGAGGGGTAGCCTCTACCAGGCTTTGGGAGGCGGCCTGAAAGAGTGGAAATTGCAATTGGCCAAATAGAGAAATAACATACCGGAGGAGTTGGCGCTAGAAAGTAGTTTGCCGCACCCGACGCGAACTGTACTCTCTAGCGGACCAACTCCCCTGGCATGTTATCTCTATTTTTGGCCAAGTTCTGCTCTTTCCGTCCGCCTCCCGAAGCCTGGCTAGGAATGAGCCACATATCGAGTCGGAAAGAGCTATCTGCACAGAACGAATCGCAACTTCTGCAACAAAATCAGGACACCTCCGAGGAATGACAAAGCAAATGACTCATGGCGCTTAATTCCGAAAAATGCTACATTCTGCACACAACAAACAAACAATTTTCAATTTCAACGAACATCACACGTAAAAAAATTCGGATGGCACCCAGGCTAGTGGGCATGTTCAACTAGGGTAAATCACTTGCATACTAGTCGCTTCTAAGACCAAACCTAGATTATGCTATAACAGAATGGAATCCATATACAAATCAGAATGGTAATATTCGTAAAGTAAATGCAAAATGTTTCCCTCCACGTGGTCTAACCTAACAAACGTAACTACTGTTCTGTTAATTTGTACTCAAACACAGTAAAAATATGGTGACGCACTAGTCCAACACTGCCCTGCAACTTGCGACACAATGTAACCCAACACCACAGGGTGTTGCTACAGCACCAGTTACCATGGTGACAGACGTCTGGTCCAGGTCATTGCCATTATGTGTTTGGAACGGAAGAAGAAGAAAAACAATTTTTGTTTGTTTGTTTGTTTTTTGCTTCTGCGAAAGTAAACATAAACAAGGAAAGGTTACAGAAATAAATTCAACTGCGATAGGGGTAGCCTCTACCAGGCTTCAGGAGGCGACTGGAAAGAATAGAAATCGGATAATTAGAGATAACATGCCGAGGGGAGTAGGTCCACTAGAGAGCACCCCAAAACTGTAAACTCTCTAGCGGACCAACTCCCCCGGCATGTTATCTCTCTCTATTTATCCGATTTCAGCTCTTTCCAGCCGCTTCCCGAAACCTGGTAGAGACTACGATAGTGATGCTTGTTTGTGGCACGGAAATGAGCACAAATCTACAGTAGATGTCACACGAAAACAAGAAAAATATCTTGACCATGCAAGACGTACAAAATTGCTAATAAACTTATGGGGGCGAAAGGAGAGTTTTATTAGACTGATTTGGCAAGATTTAATATCATATCGGGATGGAAAGCAATACTATTAATTGTCACTATTTGCTTTGCAATAAATGATCCGAAAATGCCACACATATCCATACTGCAACTTATTGTGGTTTTGTTGGGTAGCAAATGCTCCTGTTAATGGAAGATAAGAACGATTTGTTATTCCTTTTCACTACATCGCCTGACAATTTTGATCAGTAGAAGCAGCGGCGTCAACGTAAAACATGTGAGGAATACACATGCTCATAGCTGTGGTTATAAATATTGACCGTCAGCTTATTTATAAACTGGAAGGACCAGGCCAAATCTGTGCTAGGGAAACTGAGGCGATCATTATCTATAATGAAACATGTCAACAGCCGCACTATGTACACTGCCATCTTTCTACCACACATAACAGGACACTGCTCTAGACCAGAATATACAGGAGATACAACAAACTGCCTCTCTACGTGCTCCAGATGTGTCTCTACTATAGAGACCAAAGTACAAGGGCACCAGACAAAGCTCAAGCAATCAAGTGGTTAATTTAATTGTCCTAAAACCTTAGCAAGCTACAGAGCTTTAGGCTACAAGATCCATTGCCTACCGTGGACCGATCTGCCTGCAACAGCACAGGTCTACAACCAGTCACACAGAGGCCTCATCTCAGGAATTAAGAGACTCTAGGCAACTTTGGTTCGTTACAGTTTGCCAGTGTTTTGTTTATTCCTGTGTACCTACATGAACATTTAACATTCACGATAGGGAGTTTGCAGCGACGTCACCATTCCGAAAGCCTTTGCAGGTTGTTTGTAGGCCGGTTGTGACACCTGTTTGGAGTTCAGTTACTGAAACCCTTCAAAAGCGACGCATCGCGCTCGTCTGCTGAACTGCATAAACTAAAACAGCTCATTGCAAGGCGGGACAAGGGCTAAGCTTCAGCAGATATTATATGTGTCGGTTTATCTTCAGTTCTTCTGAACTTACCATACATTGTACCTATCTAAAACAAGAGAACTCCAAGACGAGATCTGAATAGGGTTGATGAAGAGACAGAGTACGTCTTGAAAGCTCCCCAGCATAGCTGAACTTTTGTTGTGTGTTGTAGTATAAATATTTTGTCAAAAGTACATCACCTGCTGTTATGTTGCCCAATAAAGCTTGCTGGAATGACTGATTGCTTGATTGATTGATTGTGATGGCACCATTATTTGTGGGTCACAGATGACAGGTATTGTTACTACGGTAGTGAAGTGAGGAAAAGACTCAAATTTCCTACCGTTTCAGCCGGCTGCCGAGTCATGGCTGTGAGGCTCTGACTTCGTGACGGGTGGATCCGATGTGAATGCACAAAACTGGCAGTCCCTGGTGACTTGCGGCACATCCAGTGATGTTCGTCCATCGTTGGTAAACCCAGCAGCTAGGATCCGGAAAAAACGTAAACAGTGCAGAAACTCAGCATCGCAGCAAAATCAAGTCGGACTCCTAACCCTAACAACTCAACAGAAGTTCTAACACAAACCCTAACAGTACTGAAGTCCTACACAACCTTAGCAATCTGCCTGAACACTACTGATCGATCGCGTAACTCCGACCCAGCTATACAGAAGTCCCGCGGCGAACTGTGCAAAACGCTGAACTGTCATGTCGGGATGGTTTCCAGCATTCTAATGATAATGAGCTGAGACCACAGGTGATGCGCAACTACTAACCTCCAAGCAGATCCTAGGTTGGCAAAAGACAGCAAATTGGGCAGGCAGTATCCATTCGCCAGAGACGATCCATACATACGCCCCCCTCTCTGGCCAATGGATACTGCCTGGGCAATTCGATAATGTTTTTTGCCACCCTAGGATCTGCTTGGAGATTACACGCAACAACATTAATTATGTCGACTGGTGGGAGCTTTGACGCTAAAAGGCATGTCGGGGTATCTTGTATGAAAATTCCGAGGAAAAATATACAGTTTTGTTGAACTTTTGACGACTGGGATCCGTACCGGGTATTACGTAACATCACACACGGGACCATGCACCTGCCATCCCGCCGCTCCAACTACGCCGGGCCGCTGGACAAATTTTCTTAATTTTTCACGGATGAAAAAAACTGAAAGTGACACTACTACATGTCGGAACATTTTATCTGAAAAGTCTGGGGCAAACTTGTGGAAAAATCAACAACTTTCTTGAAGTTTTGACCAACCATCTAACTCATCAAGTGGCGCCGACCGCCATATGTATACACTAACATGTAGTATACAATTTAATAGTATTTGGGACGATCACTCACGAAGAAACCCAATTTTCTCAAATTCTCAGGGATAAGAAAAGCTAGAAGTGACACTACTACATGTCGGAATAGTGTGTTTCAAAATTCTGAGGTAAACTTGAGGGAAGATCCACAGTTTATGGAAGAAACACCGACAGAAAAAAATGTAAACAAACTCGGCATACGCCATGTCAGGCTGTAGGTATATATATATATATACCCTGCCGGGCACAACAAATCGTTGAAGTTTCAGAAGAATCTCCGTAAGAAATATCACGAAATTAAAGGTGGATACATGGCAACTTGTTCTACAGACGATTCAAGGTAAAACAAGGTAAACATGTCAGTTCTTACCTCAGATCTGACGAGACGTCACACGCAGTCTTCCCTTCGGGTGGATTCCCGCCAAAAGTTCGTATAAAGCATTCTTACATGTCGATGAGACATTGAACGTGATTGGCGCTCACAGTTTGGGACGAACCATTTTCTTTTCCGGGGAATATTCATATAATTATATATATGTTATTGGGAATCATGTTTTGAAACGTTGACATTTATTACTTATAGAAAATATCTAAGAATGTATTTTGCCGAAGGAACTCTTCCTAGTAAGTCTTTCTGTCCACACTGAAATATTATGGAGTTCTATATACCCCTTGGTCGGAAATTGTTTTGAGCCGACATATCGGGTACAGCAGTGCAGTTCTAGAGATAAGTGACAGGTGTCGCTGTGGTACAGTCATGCAGTTTATTCGCACTCTCCAAGCAGAGGTAGTCTCCAACAGACTCCTTTGCAGGCTGCATAAATAGTAGAAATCGGCCTAAATTTGGCATATCAGTGTCCAGAGGCGTTGGCCGGCCACAGAGGGTCCATTTTGTACAGGCAATTACCTTTCGTCGATAAATTTAACTTGGGACTGCAACTTTCCAAAAAGTTCTTTTTAGAATCCATCAGTCCAGTCACCATTACATACAAGTGCGGGTTACTAGCATTACTGTGTCAGCTTGAAAATGGCAAATCCTATGAAAATATAGTGGCAGTGGCAGTTTGCAATAACGGCTGAAAATGTCACACATTTTACTCAAGATGTAGCAGGTTTATTCAACAATGTGACATGACATTGGCGACAATGTGACAGACTTCTCATGAACCAGGTGACAATTTGTTCAACACTGCAACATTCTACTCAACATTTGGGCAGTATTTAACCCTATACATGATCAAATGGCCAAGTTAACCCTATACATGAACACTGGACCATGTTTAATGGCTACTATAATCAGTAACAAGTCCCTAGTTCTCATGTCATTAAAGCAGTGACGATTTTATCAGTGTATATAAACGTGAGACTGCACCTATCACTGTAAAGCTTCGGGTGGAGACATTCCCGGTGTGGATGTGAGACTGCAACTATCAGGGTAAAGCTACGGATGAGACTGAACACATCAGTGTGTATGTGAGAGTAAACTAATCTCCAAGACAGTATCAAATTGGCCAGCCAGGCAGTATCCACCGTACTGGCCACTCTGTGGCTAATGGACACTTATCTGGCCGATGGATACTGCCTTGCCACCGTATGATCTGCTTGGAGATTAAGAGAACACATCAGTGTGAATGTGAGAGAATAAACCAGTGTAAATGTGCAGAGATATTCCCTGTGTACAGATATATGTGCAGATATACCCAGTGTCAATTTGAGACTGAAAACTTCAGTGTGAATGAGACTGAACATATCGGTGTGTATGTGCAGATATTTCCAGTGTAACTGTGCAGATATTCCTGGTGTGAGTGTGAGGTATTTTTGTGTAGGTTTTACCGTTGTACATTTGAGGTACAATTTCAGGTTTTTGCCTTGGAAGTGAAACGTCACATCAGTCTTGTATAGCGGCAAGAGATGACACTAATACAATAGCACAGCCTACATTAGTTACACGTGAGTCTTCAGGAACTGGCCACAAATTTACAAGCTCGAAGTTTCAAAGTTAGAATGTGTGGTTAGGAGATGTACAAAGTTTAAGCGGAATATAGCAAATTATTTACAAACACAGCTTACGTAATTACAGACCTGTCCAGACCAAACACTATTCATATACAACAGAACGACTTTAGGCTCCTCCATGGCTGTTGGTTAACTTGTTGCATTAGACTATTGTTCATGGCAAACCTACTTACAGTTCCATGTACAGGCTAGGTGGTATCTATGGATACATACAGCTATATTATATACACACAACCATACTTCCTGCCACGGCAGTGCTGAGCTCAGTCTACAGTCAAGTTATATCATAAAGCATTTTCTAAACATCATTTCATGGAACCTGTGCTCCTTACCATGGCTTATTCAGGTCATCCCAGCTCTTAAACACTACAACTGTACCAACTTCTGCAGTCATGTACATGTGTGCTGCAGAAATATGTAATGCAGACATGTGCTGCAGTAATGTATATGTGTTGCAGATATATGTGCTGCAGTTCTGTGTGTTGCAATGATGAGTGCTACAGTTAAGTTTGCTGCGGTGCGCGTACAAATTCATTCTTTGGTTGACAATAAAATTCTCTGGGAGCAAAGCCCAAACTGTTACATGACCTTGTGTTGTTCCACGGAAAAGCATCTCACATTCTGCACATCCATACAAGTTATTGGGATCAGATATATATAAAATATACATATGTACACTCCACGAGGCCTTCCTAAGGTTGCTAACTTTGCCGTGTTTCTAACCTGCGAGTGGAAATCATTCTTAGCAACGTCTGCTGCCAGATTTGCTTTGTTTTTCACTGATTGGGTTGGCAGGAATCTCAGGCGATTTGTGCATAAAATTTGCAGTACAACACAGATCATCCATCCTCAAGCTGGAGATCGTTACCATGGTGATGGTTGCCCCTGACAACGGTTGCCCTCGACAACCGTTGCCCCTGATTACTGATCACTAGATACTGACAAGCTCCCTTTTTCACCTTCACTGTACAGATATTTGACACTAAGTAAAGCCCAGTCCAGTTGTGGGAGCAAAAACACACAATGCCTTCAGACGCCTGCTGCTTGCTTAACAGCATTTAAGGTCCTCAGAGTCCTGCTGCTAGCTTAAAAGCATCTAAGGTCCTCAGAGTACTGCTGCTAGCTTAACAACAGCACCAAAGGCCCTCAGAGGCCTGCTGCTAGCTTAAAAGCATTGCAGGACCTGTATAGGCCCAACTATTTCCCTAGGGTATGCCTATATGGGCGCAGCTATGTTGTCTCTGATTTTCATGGTTGCAAAATCTTGTCTCTGATTTTCATGTGGTCAAAATTGAGTTGTTTATCCTGGACCCTACTAGAATTCATATTATCAGCATAATTCTAACCCCAAGTTTCTGCCAGAATTTTGCCCCAGTTTCTGCAGGAATAATTCAGTCTCCTAGTTTCTGCAGAAAAACTGCAACCCTCCCTAAATTCTGCAGGAATACTGTTTCCGCAGCCCCCTAGTTTCTACAGAAATGCTGCAACCCCCCATAATTTCAGCAGGCCCCTAGATGCAGACTGCTACAGTTTCCGCAGTGGTGCAGAATGCTGCAGTCCCCTTAGTCTCTGCAGTTATGCTGCAGTTATACCATCTTGTTGATGTCGTGCGGCGCGAAACAGTCTAAACAACTCTCAGGTACTGCTCAAACAAATAACAGCAACCATCACAAATCACTCTGCCACCTGTTGGGGACGCTGGGTCGCTGTCGGAGGTCACACACGACCTTCCGCATCTCCTCGATGGAGGGGTCAGAGGGCACCATGTCGTAATATGGCAGCTGGTAGTCCTCGTAGATACCTGCGGGAATAACGTGCACAGATTAAAGCAGACAATAGGCAGCTAAGGGGCCTCACATGCCATCAGAAATAACAGGCACTGGTTACATCAGACAACAAAGGGGCCTCACATACCATCAGAAATATCAGGCACTGATTACATCAGATGGCTTAATCTTTTACCAGATGTAGGTGGTGCCTAGCTATAGTAAAACAGTTTAACCTTGTCACAGCTAAGGGTGCCTCCATGTTTTCTGACTACAGTAGAAGAGTCTTTAACCTTCTACCAGCTGAGGGTGGCGCCTGGCCACAGTAAAAGGGCTAAGGGTGCATTGATGCTACAGTAGAAGAGAAAAGTGGAAGCTTGCTGCCCGAGAACAGGAGGAACTACGGTCTAAGGTAAGAAGGGAGAGACTGACCTCCGACGTTGCATCTTCTGGCGACCTCCCAGAAGACGAGGCCGAGAGCGTAGACGTCGGCGCGCTTGAAGGAGTCGAAGTGCGTGATGTTGATCGTGTCGTCCAGAACCTCCGGAGCCATGTACCTGCGGGAGGGCAGAAACATGTCAATCATTCATTCATTCTTTCACTCACTCCCGTATTTCAGCCATGTACCTAAGGAAAGCAGAGAAACATGGCGCATCAGCCTGGGACAGATGTTTATGTACAAAATGATAATAAACTGGTGGATTTGTAAACTACTCAGTACCTGATACCAGCTCAGAAAAGATGATGAAATAGCCATGCCTTCAAGTACCAGTTATCAACCAAGGATTGAGGTGTTCAAAAACTCATTCATTCACTCACACATTCATTCCTTCATGCATTCATTCATTCAATCATTCCTTCCTTCATTCACTCATGCATTCAATCATTCAATGATCCTTTATTCATTCAGTCAGTCATTCATTCATTCCCATATTTCAGCCAGAAGGCTGCAAACTTTTACAACATTAAACCATTCCTTCATTCATTCATCCATCCTTCTTTCATTATTTCGTTCCCACCTCTTGGTTCCGACGCGGTTGCGCAGGCGCACTGCCCGTTCTGCGATGAAGCCCAGGATGTTCTCATGTCTGAGCATGACCGTTTGGTAGATCTCCGCCTCGCGGAACCACGACCCCTCGCGAGACGAGTCTTCACGGCGACGCTGCCATCGGCCACACCTCGCCGAACCTTCCCTTCCCGATGGACTCCATCAGGGTGATCTGCCGCGCGATGGTTCGCTGGACCAGCAACGGCAGGCCGGAACCGGAGCCTGAGGTGGTCCAGTCTCGCATCATGCCTGCAGGATAACAGCAGGGCAACATGTCAGTAACTATCATTAACTGTCAAGGTCATTCAATAACAATAATAGGACTCAAGGTCAGTCAGAACCCAGGACAGTTAGGGTTGGGCCTTGTGTCCTGTAAAGTGACAGTTTACAGAAGTAAGAGGTAGTCTTAGGTCGTGTCTATACGGAATCACCCAAACCGCGATTCGGGTAACTCACATTCCTCACATCTGGTCCACGTGCCACACACACCTGCGAAACCGTGTCCGAACATAATGCGCTTGAGCTACATTTATTGCTGTTTGATGATAACACGCAAGGTGGCGTGTTATTAATGTCAACGACCTGCTTGCTGATGGCCCCCTCCCAGCGTATCTCGGCCAAATGCCAACGTGGTCCCGCGAGAGGCGGTGAAGCTCGCCCTAGAACGGACACATTATTTGACCATTACTGCTCTTTAAGTTGCTGCCACGTAAAAGTTGGTACTGCATATAAAAAAAGAAATATCACTCCGTAATCCATGACCAGGCGAAGTCACATTGAAATCACATTGCGTTCAGACGCAAATCGCAATGCGGGGAAACCGATTCGAAATCACCTCTAGAAGTGGCTTGGGATTGAGGCGCTTTCAATGTGATTTCGGAGCGTTCAGATGGAGCCACTTGAAACCGGCTTCGGGGTAAACCACATGTAAACCGCCTTGGGTGATTCCGTTTAGACACGGCCTTACCTGATCCAGACCCTGATGTTGTCATGTCCAGCAGTTCCTTGAGAGAGTGCCCGGGAGGCATGAGGGGGTTTGGGTTAGGGTTAGGAAGAGAGGAAAGTTGTATAAAGTTGTGTAAAGCCTTACCCGATCCAGACCCTGAAGTAGTCATGTCGTCCAGTAGTTCCTTTAGTGAGTGTCCGGGCGGCATGAGGGGGTTGTCGGAGTCCATGCTCTCCTCTGGGTCGGACAGCGGCATACGGTTTCCCCGCTTCTGGCACAGGAACAGCACGATCATAAACACGATACACGCGAAGCAGATCGGCCCCGCGATGATGGCGGCCAGCTCCACGGTGCCTAAACCTGCCGAGCCGCCGGGCGACTCACGGTCTGAAACAGCAGGGGCACACGTTAGTAACTAGCATTAACTATCAATAACCTGGTCATTAACTGTCAATAACCTGGTCATTAACTGTAAATAACCTGGTCATTAACTGTCAATAACCTGGTCATTAACTGTCAATAACCTGGTCATTAACTATCATTAACTGTCAATAACCTAACCTAGCAGCAGGGGAACACGTCAATAACCTGGTCATTAACTGTCAATAACCTAACAGTAACAAGTAAGCTGGGAGGGGGAAGCTGTCATCTATCTGTCAACTACCTGTCAACTATAACACAGATTCACACTCATAGCAACAAAACATTCAGCAAATGTCAACCCAGGAAAATCGCTACAGTGGCACGGCAACAGCATGGAGGTTGCTACTGTGGAACTGCAACAGTTGAACAAGCTAGAGTGGAATTGCTACAGTGGAACTGCTAAAGTGAAACAGCTACAATATCAGGGGACTTGCTTGAGCGGAACCTAGTAGAGAATGGAATTCGCTAGAGTGGGACTATGAAGTTTGCTGGAGAGTGTGGGTTGGAAAGAAGTGCACTCCGCGCCCCTTGCGGCAACCTTCTACTTGTGTGTTGGAAGCTACAATGTGGAGTTTGCCACAGTGAAACTGCTACAATGTGGAGTTTGCTATGTAGTGGAACTGCTACAATGTGGAGTTTGCTAGAGTGGAACAGCTATAGAGATGAGGGAGACAGAAGTCTGTCCGCGCAGGGCGGCTACCTTCTACTTGTGTGTTGGAAGCTACAATGTGGAGTTTGCTACAGTGGAACTGCTACAATGTGGAGTTTGCTACAGTGGAACTGCTACAATGTGGAGTTTGCTACAGTGGAACTGCTAGGATAAGGAGTTTGCTAGAGAGTAGAACTGATAGGATAAGGAGAGTGTAGGGAGAAGTTTTACTCCGCGCGTTGCGGCTACCTTCTACTTGTGTGTCGGAAGCTACAATAGGAACTATGAAGTTTGCTATAGTGGAGCTGCTAGAGAGTGGAACTGCTAGGATAAGGAGAGAGTACGGGTCCGCGCGTTGCGGCTACCTTCTACTTGTGTTGTGGAAGCGGGCAGGACCAAGTCTAGCTCCCGATTGCAGAAGTCGTGCGTTCTGCAGCAGCGGATGGCAAATCGGGGGTTGTTCGAGTCCTGACAGATGAAGGGGTTTTCGGGCGGCGTGAGTCGATCCGCGTCCATGCACCGCATCGTCATGGTAACAGACTCCGCGGACTCCAAAATCAACTGCTTGAAGCAGACTCCGTCTGTCTGGCATGTGAAGTTGCCTTTCTCGCACCGGTCGCATGCACATTGCAGGGCTGTAACGGCAGGGAACACACACACAAGCCGTCAGGGTCAGCAGGGTCAAGGGTTAGCAACAGCCACATGACATTTGACCTCTGGCCTTGCTTGGGCCAGCCCACTAGGGATCCTGCATGGGGGGGAGAAAGTTATGTGAGCAGGGTCAGCTGTGCATGCAGGGCTCGAAACACTGGTGCATTTCCGGGTGCCCCCGAAACTGGAGCTGTGAACAGGGTTTTGACATTGGTGCACCTAGGTTTGTATAGGTACTACTGCACACTAGTCTACAGCATATTCTGGGTAATTAAGTGTCAGCAAAATAACAAAACCTTTGGTACCAGTGTAAGATTTTGATTTCATTTTCAAGCTCTGAAGGTAGCAAGTCAGGTTTGTAAAAAGACAATGTCTACTTTATTTTAAGCTGTGCACCCAAACTTTTCAGGCTGCATGCACCAAAAATGACTTTCGAGCCCTGGAGTGAGAAAGCCGAGCTGTGATTGGACGACAGAACAGACCGCCACATTAACACCTGGTCACAACCACACCTGCCAATCATGACATGCCACGGATACGGTTACCATGGTTACAGTTGCCGCGGTTACAGTTACCATGGTTACAGTTGCCACGGTTACAGGTTATGGGTAAGGCTGCTTGCTGCTGCTTAATGAGATGCGTGTGTGAGAGAATGAAGGGGTATAATTAGTACATAGGGACGCTTCGCTCGCTCGCAATGCGCGCATGAACGCCAAACCAACTCACACCCGGCCTTATATGGGCGTGGGCGCCGCTGCCTGGGAGCTGATTGGTCGCTGCCCTGCTTCCGCCCTTTGACCTGCGGATACGTTACCGATGGTAGGGGGGAGGGTAGGTCGCAGGTCAGCGTTGCAGAGGTCGTGAGACTTGCAGCACGCCACCACAAGGTCAGCGTTCGTTTCCACGTTCTGACACTTGAAGGGGTTTTCCCGCGGAATGAGTTGGTCTGCATTCAAGCACTGCCGGACGGTCCTCGGCCACTCGCCGGCCACTCGCTGGACGTTCGTGGAGCAAACCCCGTCAGTGTCGCACGTCCCGTTCCCGCAGAAATCACACGAACAACGCAGGGCTGAGGAGAAACATGGATACAATTCCAACATCTAAAAAATCACAACAACATCTTACTAACTATAACTAGAACCTCTTAGATATGTGGGGGAAACATGGCAACAAGAAGTCCAACATCTCAGAAATCACAACATCTTACTTAGGGTTGAGGAGAAACATGGTAACAATTCTGGCATTTCAGAAATAACAACATCTTACTACAGCCTGGCTGTGGGAGAAACATGCAACATTTAAACAATTCTAACATCTCAGAAATCACAAGAATATCTTACTAATTCTCTAGGGCTGTGGGAGAAACATGGCATCTACAAACATTTCTCAGGGATGTGGAAATAAACATTTCAACCATTAATAAACATTTCAAGTATTATTTTAACACTGCAGGAACATCTGAGGGCTAGGGGAAAAATGCAGAGTCTATGAGATGTCTGGGCATGTACGGGAAAATTACACATACCAACTGTTGAACAATATCCTTTTCTCTACCACTGCCTCGTATAGGTGACCATATCTGCCAGAACTTACAAGCAATAGCATCAGTACATGGGGACAAGAATTTTTCTATGAGCAGCAAGAAATACTTCCCACTACACTCTGGAGTCTTGTTTGTAAGATGACAGACATACATGTATTTACTGCACAAGTTTTCTTCCCTTGTTTTTGGTGACAAGAAAAAGCAGGAGAGATTGAGAGATCATGTCTACCTGTGGCCCAAATTTTATGGTGGATTCTAATGTTTAAAAGCCCTGACAGGTTCATCTAACCATCTTCTAAGCTGTATGGTGACTTGAACCATTTTTCATGAGAAAACAGACATTTTCATCAAGTATTTTAACAGATTTTTGCCGAAACAAATTGTTTTTACTGTTGTGGGAATAAAAATGGGTGAGTTGATGTTTTCTTCTCAACTCTGTCGACATTTTCACCTTGGCCTTCTGTTAAATTTGTGGAATATTTGAGAAGGAAGTTATAGCTTATATCTCACAACATCGTCAAACATGAAACATGCAAGGTTAAAAACATCATCGATCACAATCTACAAATCGTACTCAAGGCCTCAAGTTTAGGGCTTGCATTAAAACCTGTTTTCATGCTAGTGCAGCAAAGAGAATATACATAGATAAATAAGTAAATAAATGCTTGGCAATAATTTCTACTGGAATATATGATGACATTATGATTATCCTGCAATTAAAAACTGTTTTCAGTTGACGGATAGCTTGGTAGAGAGAACATGCTTAATATATGTAAATAAAAGTCTAGAAACAATTAACAAAATTTTTACTGACAAACATTATGACAAATAATATGGCAATATCGCCCAGGTATGCCACAACTTATTAGTATAGTAACTTGTTCTGTTTACATAATTTTTAAAACTCATCACAACTAAAAATCATGCATCTATGGGAGGAAAACAGACATTATGTAGTTTTTTGCAAACAAGATACTAAATATTTACATGGTAAATTAATTACTTATAAAAACACACTGGCTACTTGAGTTATTCTGTTCCATCTAAATTTGCACCTTGTCAAGTTACTATAAATTTATTTGCAGTGATTCATAACAACTTCCTGGCTTAATAAGTCCAGAAAATCAACAAAAAACATCAACCAATTTTGTCAACAATTCTTCCTAAGGATATTCGTTTTTCCTTCGCGACCATGTCGCCTCCTTGTCGCCATTTCTTAAGACGTAATTTTAAGATTCCTTGAAGATTGTGGCTGTTTTGGGCCTACCTCCCGGCCGGATCACTCCCGTCTCGTCTGAGGGTCCTTCCACCGCCTGTAACAAATTACCGCCGACCTGCCGACATTTTCACAACAAAACTACAACCAAATCACGACATTTCCCTCACAAACCCCGACACAACACACTGCCAGGCCGTCTAGGGCGGCGGTATAGCCATCAGCATCTCTGAACGGGCCGATCTGGCGGGAAAAAACAGGCGATTTTCTGAGGGAAAAGTCCGTCCCTCACAGGCGCCATCTTGGAAAGACGCGGGGATTCTTCTCGCCACTTTCCCACAAAAACACGCGAACCCAACCACGATCCCGGGCGGAACTCGCCCCGACGCCCTGCCGACAGACTCACGACGCTTACCTGATGCTGGGGACCAGCACACGGCGAGAATCAGCGCGCAGAAGGGCAGCAAAACTCGGCACCTCTCCATGTTGTCACTAGACGGGCGGCCTTCAGTCACATCACTGCCCGGCCGCAGCACGCCTGACGTCATGGGATCACTCCGCCGCGGTAATGCTGGGGGAAAACCGCGAGATGTACCGGGGGAGGGTGTCGAGTTTGTGAAGAAATGTGTATTGAACCATGGAATGTTTCTGTGTGCGTTGATGGTTAGTTTCAGGAGGTTTAAAATCAGATTTTAAAACTTATAGTTTCATGTAGTAACGTTATATGGTTTCTTCTGATCAAGGACTTCTAAAAAGGCTTCTAAAACACAAATTAGGTGAGAAATACATCTCGTGTTCGAGTGGTCGCAGCACTTGTAAACTTTTAAAGCTAGCAGTAGTTCCAGGGAAGTTATATTTTGCTGACATGCCTGCATGCAGATAAGGAAAAGCAGACGTAACTAGAGAGGCCGACATTTGCTTGGGAGCAAATACAGCATATTTCAGTCCATCTCCCTCCCACGCAAAAGTGGACTATTCCAAACTTACCCCAGTGTAAGTAAGGCAAAGGTTCTCAAATAAATGAATTATATAGTAGCTATGTAATTGAGAACAAAGATGCAAGAACAAGCACATTGAATCTCGAAAGCTTTACTAATCTTATTACAGTTATGCAAATACTAACAATGATGAGATTTGATACATTTTGAAGGTCTTAGGCACATAAAATTGAATGTGTGGGTCATTACGCACGACTTACGTGCAATGTGACCCCAGGTAACCCGCAATGGAACACGTGTTCCATGGCCAACGGCAGATGGAACGTGCCATTCTTTAGATAGAACATGGAACGGGTATAGCACTTTTGGCCCTTTTTTTGCTGAAAATAGCCATTAAAGTCCCCCAAATGAGTCATTTGGAAGTGGTGTATGCCAAATATGTGACTGCTATTCTGTAGACACATGTTCAAGGTACCCTTATACCGAATTTCAGATCATTTGGTTGTAAAACCAGGGCTCAGGATAAAAAAATCCATTTTTTTGGCGAAAAATGCCCCAAAAAACCTTCATAAAAATTTTTCAAAGGCATGTATCAAAAAAATGAAAAAAAACGCCTGGGGGTATCGGCCCACTCTACCTCCATGCCAAATTTCAAGTCATTTGGCTGAATGATGGCTGAGTTGAATCCCTTTGACTGTGTGGCAGGAGGAGAAGAAGAAGAAGAAACACTAGAAAGGCCGACATTTGCTTGGGAGCAAATACAACATATTTCAGTCCATCTCCCTCCCACGCAAAAGTGGACTATTCCAAACTTACCCCAGTGCAAAACTGGCAAAGGTTCTCAAATAAATGAATTAAATAGTAGCTATGTAATTGAGAACAAAGATGCAACAAGTACTTTGAATCTCGAAGTCGAAAGCTTTACTAACCTTATTACAGGTATGCAAAAACTAACAATGATGAGATTTGATACATTTTGAAGGTCTTACTCTCTTAGGCACATAAAATTGAATGTGTGGGTCATTACGCACCACTTAGTGCAATGTGACCTCAGGTAACCCGCAATGGAACACATGTTCCATGGATGGAACCGGCCATTCTTTAGATAGAACATGGAACGGGTACAGCACTTTTGCCCCTTTTTTGCTGAAAATAGCCATTAAAGTCCCCCAAATGAGTCATTTGGAAGTGGTGTATGCCAAATAAATGACTGCTATTCTGTAGACACACGTTCAAGGTACCCTTATACCGAATGTCATATCATTTGGTTGTAATACCAGGGCTCAGGATCCAAAAATCCATTTTTTGTCGAAAAATGCCCCAAAAAACCTTCATAAAAATTTTTCAAAGGCATGTTTCAAAAAAATGAAAAAAACGTCTGGGGGTATTTGCCCACTCTACCTCCATGCCAAATTTCAAGTCATTTGGCTGAATGATGGCGGAGTTGAATCCCTTTGACTGTTTGGCAGGAGGAGAAGGAGGAGGAGGAGAAACATGAGGGAACACAATATATTTCATCCATACCATGGTATGGACTGAAATATAATAAATGACATTCGCTGCACTTCTGACGTCACGCACGCTGACGCTTTTCTGTAACATTCCAAGTTGTAGATACGAGTGTTTCTAGGAGCATGTAAGATTGCTGTGACGTTACATGTTATATCAAGGACGCTCCTTGGTTAAATATAGTGACGCTTAGACCCAAGGTTTTCCGGTTGCTGACAGCATATAACCTCCTTGCTGATAGACTTCTCACCAACAAAATCTCCACACAAGGCCAACCAGGATAGCCTCTACCAGGCTTCAGAGGTAGCCTCTATCAGGCTTCTGAGGTAGCCTCTACCAGGCTTCTGAGGTAGCCTCTACCAGGCTTCTGAGGTAGCCTCTACCAGGCTTCTGAGGTAGCCTCTACCAGGCTTCTGAGGTAGCCTCTATCAGGCTTCAGAGTCAGCCTCTACCAGGCTTCAGGGGTGGCTGGAAGAGTAGAAATCAGCCAAGTAGACTAAGGAGTTTGAAGAGAGCTTCTTGAATACCAGTAAGACGCCAGGGTAGCTGTCCACTGTAGAGTACATTTTCTGCTTTTGAAATTCCTAAATCTTTGCCCTTTCAAATGTTTTCCACTTCAATGTGGTCATGAGGTACATGCATGATGTCCTGAGGTACATGTAAGATGTCCTGAGGGTACATGATAGATGTCCTGAGGTACATGTAAGATGTCCTGAGGGTACATGTAAGATGTCCCGAGGTACATGTAAGATGTCCTGTGGGTACATGTAAGATGTCATGAGGTACATGTTTAATTATGATGAGCAAACTCAGACGTCACACATCCGGGATATTCAAGCAGCCTTTATTGTGGAATTCAGCTTTTCTTACTATTTGTGAAAAAATAGCCCCGATCGGTGGTTCTTGCCTTGGTGGAAGCCACAGTTACAGTTTATCAGTACAAGTAGGCAGTACATTGAATCAGCAGGCCACAAGGATTTAATCAGTTAGTTCTCGGGTTCTAATCTTAACAAAAAAATCTGTTTCTGAATCAACTTCAAAAATGCTAATATTTTGGCCCCAAAAGTGGTATGTTGACTAAGTGGATTGTATGATAGCATTTGGGGCTACCATAGGATGCCTACATGTAGGCTTGTTTTTTTCACCGTCGCTTCACAGTTTTTGTACAAAGATCCGAGAACCAACGAATTAAATTGTTGTGACCTCAGGTGGGTTGAACAACTCTGCAGGATAGTTAGGCAGTTTCATAATGTCCTGTTTAGTTAGGCAGTTTTACAATGTCCTGTTTAGTTAGGCAGTTTCACAATCTCCTGTTTAGTTAGGCGATTTCACAATGTTCTGTTTAGTTCAACAATGACCTGTTGGTATAGTTAGGCGGTTTAACTGTATAGTTAGGCGGTTTAACTGTATAGTTAGGCGGCTTCACAGGTAAATACTAGTCTATCAACTCTGCTGCAGAATTCTGGCATCAGGAGTGACTTTTTCTGCAGGATTTCCTCACATTAAATACATCAGCGGCGTCACAGCAGGTCTGAATCCTTGTTTCTGCTGTTTTCTTCACCGTTTTGTAGGTAAAGCACAAACCTCCTTTTCTCTAAAATACATCGTAAAAAAAAACCTGCTGAGCCATTTTCAGCATATTGCCGTACGTCGGAAGGAGCCTTATGTACAAAACGTTACATTTCAAACTTCATCGATCGTCTGTCCGTCTTCATTAGTTCATACTTTCCTGGATTATTATAATAAAAGAAAATACTGATATATACAAATTCACGTTACGACAATACATACTTATTATATACGACTTATTGCAATTCTGCCACACCCCTTCGCAATTCTTGGTACGATCCACCTCACATGGCAGCGAGACGCCTGACCTCTGACCCGAGCCAGAGCACTCTAGTGGTTACCATAGCAACATATGCATTGCCATGGCAACTGTCACCATGGTAATTCCTACTGTGTTTGTTTCAGTTGAGTATAAAAAAAGCTGCTCAACAGAGTTTCTCAAAATTAAATCAGGATTACAAAATTTCCGTTTTTAACATTGTGGTGGAGTTACAACAAACTTCCTAACATAAAGTTCCATTTCCTTATCAAAGATACTGGCCTGCATGTGGTATCAACGTTCTATAGAACTGCAGTGGGAATATTCTACTGAGTCTGTGGTAACAACGTTCTACAGAGCTGCAAAGTTGTGAATAATCTGTAAGCGTTCCACAGTGTTGTCACCTGTGCCTGTATAACATCTATCCATGGTGTCAGTCGTGGTTACATCAATCTACAGCAAGATACAAGGAGCTTTCAAATTCCTTGCTCTAGTCTACTGGTTCATGTTGTTCTACAGTACATATTGAGTGTCCAGTTTTTTCCCTACCGTCTCTAGTAAGATATGTTAGAGCACATACACAGTATAATGTGGGTATTGTTGTCGCAGGTTTACACGTCCACAGATACAGAGGCTCAGGCAAAGCACCCCCCTCCCTAACCCAACCCCCCTCATGGGTGCTCCCCTCCCCAAGGCATATCCCCATCTAGCTACTACCAGCCTTCAGCTTGAGGCTTATTTTGTTGCTTACATCAATAATAAACAAAAGAACAAAGATGCTAAGGCCACAGCATCACTCAGTACAGCACACATCCACATCTGCAGCTCCAAACACACATTCACATCCTCAGTCTCCATCCAATCACAGAGCAGCATGGGAACGGTTGCCATAGTTACGGGGGAAAACCGGGGGTCTTCAGGGGTTTTTTGTGCACCCAGAAGGGGAGTTTTACACCCAGGTTTGGCCTGTACAAAATTGCTGAGACGTACAAAGCGGAGACGATGTATGTACAGACTGTCAACACTCATCGGCTTTCACCACTCAGAGAAACAGTACTCATCACACGTCCTGTTTCAGAACAGTATGTAAACAGGACAGGAATCACACGTCCTGTTTCAGCTCCTTCATCTTCTCGAGCGAAGTCTGCAGCTTGTTAAGGGTTTTCTTGACGCGAAGCGCCGTGAGTCTCGCCGACGGGTTGTGGTACCAACATTCCCGCATCAACTTGGCCATCGCTGTTAACGTCTGGAAAATAAAGGGCGGGGTTACCATGGCTACATGGTCGCTATGGCTACATGGTTACCATGGTTACCTGTGGTACCAACATTCCCACATCAACTTGGCCATTGCTGTTAACGTCTGCAGGGGAACAGTAGTCAGGGTTACGGGGTTACCATGGTTACATGGTCGCTATGGCTATGTGGTTGCCATGGTTACCTGGTTGCTATGGCCACATGGTTGCCATGGTTACCTGGTCACTATGGCTACATGGTTGCTAAGGTTACGTGGTTGCCATAGTTACCTGGTCGCTGGACCATCTGTTTGGAATGCTGGGTCTCTGTTGGTCCACGACGACGACCTTCCTCATGTCCTCGTAACTCGGGTCGCTCGGAACAACATCGTAGTACGGAGGCTTGTACTCTTCTGCTATCCCTAAATAAAAAAATAAACAAACAAACATGTAAGGCATGTACTCCTCCGCTATCCCTAAACAAACAAACAAACAACATGTAGGGACAGCATTTTTAGCGGGTACAGCTTGAAAGGAGTTGGATGGGGTGCCAAACAAAAAACAAACAAACAAACAAACCTACCCCCACTCATACAGCGCCGTGCGACCTCCCACAGCACCAGCCCCAAAGCATAGACGTCGACCCTTTTGTAGGAGTCGAAGCACTCATAGTTCATGGTCTCTTCCAACAGTTCCGGGGCCATGTACCGCTTCGTGCCGACCCGAGGGTTCGAGCCAAGGTCGAGCGTGTCTGTGGCCTGCGAGTGCATCACGGCCAGACCTGCAGAAACACAAACAAACAAACTAGAAAAGTAACATTTGCAAAGCAAATGCATAATGTTTACCTTCGGACATGGTCTGCTCTGTTAATTCTTACTCAAACATATCCACATACATGTACTACTAGTATATGGTGACAGGACCAGAGCAGACCATGAAATTGCAACATTATGAAACCCAACACCAGTCACATAGAAATGTTTGAAACTCACCCAGATCGGCGATGCAGCACTGGCCGTTGCTCTTGACGAGGATGTTCTTGCTCTTGAGGTCGCGGTGAGCGATGGCGGGTTTACCCTGCGTGCCGAAAATCTCCACGTGCAGGTGGACTAGTCCACCCGCGATAGAACAGGCAAGCTGGGGGGGACAGGGTCAATAAATCAATAAACAATCAATAAAAAATCTCCACGTGCAGGTGGACTAATCCACCCGCGATCGCACAGGCAAGCTGAGGGGGACAGGGTCAATCATCAATAATCTATCAGAAATAATCTATCAATATTCTATTGATCAATCAAAAATCTCCACGTGGAGGTGGACTAGTCCACCCGTGATCGAACAGGCAAGCTGGGGGGGGGCAGGATCAATAAATCAATAGCCAATCCATCCATCAATCAAAGTTTCCACATGGAGCTAGACTAGTCCACTTGCGATCGACCATTCAGTGCACTGCAGAAAGTCATACAGAGAACCAAACATGTCAGAGTTAGGGAAAGGGTCAGTGTTGGAGTTAGGTACAGGATTAGGGTTAAACTTAGGGAAAGGGTGAGAGTTAGGGAAAGGGATAGGGGTAGGGTTAGTGAGGTACTGCAGTCCTGACTGCTTACCTTCATCATACGGTGGGCATCAAGCACTGTGCGTTGTAAGAAGTCATACAGAGAACCAAACTCGTGGTAGTGTTAGAGTCAGAATTAAGGAGAGAGTTAGGGAAAGGGTTAGAGTAAGAGTTAGGGTTACCGAGAGCTTACCTTCATCATACGGTGGGCGTCGAGTGTTGTGCATTGTAGGAAGTCGTACAGAGAGCCGAACGCGTGGTAGTGTTAGAGTTAGGGACAGCTTTAGTGTTAAGGAAAGTATTAGGGTTTGGGTTGGTGAAAGACAGCTGTGCTGACTGCTTACCTTCATCATTCGGTGGGCGTCGAGCGTTGTGCGTTGTAAGAAGTCGTACAGAGAGCCAAACTCGTGGTAGTGTGTGATCAGCCACAGCTGCGTGCAGGAGTTTCGGGAGGTCATGTCGGACGCGATGAAGCCCAGAATGTTCTCGTGCCGCAGCAGGACCGTGTTGTAGATCTCCGTCTCTCGGAACCAAGACTTCTCGTCGCGAGAGTTGAAAATCTTCACGGCGACGTTTTCCCCCTGCCACTGGCCTCTCCACACCTCGCCATACCTGCCCTTTCCTACAGGAAAATAAACAGGACATTAACTCACATAACTGGACATAACCAACACACACACAAACACACACACAAACACACACAACACAACGTTTTCTCCCTGCCACTGGCCTCTCCACACCTGCCCTTTCCTAAAGACACACAGAAATAAACCTCAATGCTTAACATATCACCGGAAAAGAAACCACCATAATTACAACTCCCTAAACATGTCTCTGAACCATTGTGAACACAAAAATGAACTGCCATATCTAGACATAACCAACAGACTTCAAAGTGTGTGAGAGCCTGTACTAAATGTGTGTTTATGTGAGACATGTACCCAGTACTAACCTATCTGTTCCACCAGTGTGATCTGCCGTGCGACGGTTCGCTGCACGAGGAACGGCAGGCCGGACCCGGAGCCCGATGATTGGTCGACGAGATCCTGCAGCGTGTTGTCGCCGGCGGGGTAGGCGTGCATGTCGCCCACGTGCACCCCGCCTCGCTCCACGTCTCGGTGGTAACGCTGCAGACGACGCTTGTGCATGAACCTGTACGTACAGATTATAATTTGTATGTAGAAAGTTTATTGCAAATACAGTCAAACCTGTACTAGCGGTCACCTTTGTATAGTGGTCACTCGGCCATAGCGGTCAGTTTTTGCCGGTCCCTTGAATTTTTCCCATTGACGTAAGCATTAAGAATCGTGTCTATAGCGGTCACTGTTCAACGCGGTCAGCGGTCACCCCATTCCGGTCCCGCCGGCATGTCAACACCGCCGATAGCGGTCGCGGCTGGCCGTAACCAGCTAAGCACCACGGCCGTAACACCACCCCACCTCGGGCTACGACCGTTATGAGCCTTGTGATAATTTTCCGATCGCTACATTACTAAAATGTGAACTGAAAATTAAACTCCATATGTGTATGAAATAAAGGAAAACTGGCTTTTGACACGAAGTTTCTGCGGTCGCGGGTGTCTTTGATATCTGCGTTTTCCCCAACACCAGTGCCGTGCGTGCCGCATGGAGCTTTCAATGGACTCGGCCGATCGGCGAAGATTACGGCAATTATCTTTACAAAAAAACTTAAGAATATCCATATTTGGTTTCTCGATTCCTTGAAATGCGTAGATATGTGCATAGCTTCCGTTTTTCATGGGCATAATTCAAGAAATTTGGCTCGAAAATGCGTTTCGTATTTTTCCAAGATGGCGCATGTGTTAGCTGCAGAGGGAGGTCAATTGGGGTCATCGGAAGACTCCACTGTGATGGAGGTAGATAAACCGAGTTTTATTAACTTCATTAG